GTTCATTGGTTTTTAATTATTGTATAGTATTCCATTGTATGTCTTTGAGTTAGAGTCTATCTATTAAAGCAAGTCATTAAAAGCCCAAGTTTTAAATTTTAACATGGTTCCTCCATGTCTTTTTGTGATAGCTTATTTCTTTTTAATGCTGAATAATTTTGCATTGTTTGGATGTACCATAGTTTGTTAACTCATTCACCTATTGAAGGACATCTTGGTTGCTTCCCATTTTTGCCTATTTTAAAGAAAGATGTCATAAACATTCATGCGCAGGTTTTTCATGTGGACATAAGTTTTCAATTCAATTGAGTAAATTTCTAGGAGCATAATTGTATGGTAAGTCTATTTTTAGCTTCATAAGAAACTGACAAACTGTCTTCCAAAGTGGTTGTACCATTTTTCATTTCCAGCAGCAATAAATAGGAGTTTGTTTCTCTGCATTCTTGCTAGCATTTGTTGTTGTCAGTTTTTTGGATTTCAGCTATTCTACTAGGAAGGGAAATAGTGTCTTATTGTTTTAATTTGCAATTCCATACAGACATGTGATGTCAAGTATCTTTTCATGTGCTTACTTGTTGCTTTGCCCCCCATGGGTTTGTCACCCCACTTCCCCTGGGTGATGGAGATTCAATGGATTACTCATAGCCCATCTCTTCTGAGCATTGAGAGACCCCAAAGTGGTTAATCTCCTGCCCGAACCCTCAAGCGAGAGGCATCTGTTCCTTGGGAAATTAACCCGGAATTGGGGTCCTCTTCCTGCATTTATTTTCCAGACCAGGAAGAGAACATAGGTGGGGTTATAGTTTAACAATATAACCTGGTAACTTTCAGTGAAACAAGCCAGATGACATTCTAGTAAGGCAATTAAGTGATCCTATCAACAAAAGCTTGATCTTAGCAAACGTTCCTTCTTACAGCAATTTATCAGTATCTTTACATAACAATAAGTAACTAGTTTGTCTTTGAGCCAGCAACCTTGCTGTGCCACAGATCTTTATCTTATACCAGAGACTTTATAGCCTGAGGAAAATTTCCAGTCCTCCGCAAGGTCAATATTTGAAACTGCAAGGCTTTAAGTACATTTGCTTTAAGAATCCTCTACATTTACTTGCCACCTATATGTCTTCTTCAGTGTAGTTTCTGTTCAGGTCTTTTGCTTATGGTTTGTTCATTTTCTTATTGTTGAGCTTTAAGAGTTCTTCATACATTTTGAATACCAGATCTTTATCAGCTATGAGTTTAGCAAATATTTTTCTCCATTCTGTGGCTTGTCTTCCTATTCTCCTAATAGTGTCTTTCTGAGAGCAAAAGTTTTTAATTTTAGTAAAGTCCAACTAATCAATTCTTTTTTTAATTCAAGATTATGTTTTTGGTGTTGTATCTAAAAACTCATCGACAAACCCAAGGTCACCTATGTTGTCTTTCAAAAGTTTTATAGTTTTGCATTGTACATATCATACATTTTGGTTTGTGATCCATTTTGAGTTAATTTTTGTGAAAGGGCTGTGCTACTTTATTTTTTTAGCACATAAATGAACAATTGTTCCAGCACCGTTTGTTAAAAAACCCATCCTCCCTCCATTGGATTGCCTTTGCTTGTTTGTTGTAGATCAGTTGGCTATATTTGTATGGGTCTGTTTGAGTTCTCTATCATATTCCATTGATCAATTTGTCCATTCTTTCATCAATATCATGCTGTCTAGATTCCTGTGGTTAAATAGTAAGTCGTAAAATCAAATAGTGTCAGTCTTCCAACTTTATTCTTTTTTTTTTTTTTCAGTATTGTGTTGGTTCTTCTGAATCTTTTGCTTTTCCATATACATTTTAGAATCAGCTTGTCAATATACACAAAATAACATGCTGGGATTTTGGTTGATATTATGCAATCTGTAGATCAAGTTGGGGAAAATTGACATCTAAACAATATCATGTCTTCCTGTCCATGAACACAGAATCTCTCATCATTTCAGTATGCTTAAATTTCTTTTATCAGAGTTTTGTAAGCTTTCCTCACATAAATCCAACAAAATATGTACTTAATTTATGCCTAAATGATTCTTTCTCTCTCTCTCTCTCTGTTTCTGTGCTAATGTAAATTATATCGTGTTTTCAGTTTCAAATTCTAGTTGTTCATTGTTGGTATATAGAAAATTGACTTAATATTTCTTTGTTTTTTAGTTTTGGAGAGGAAGATTATGTCCTCAATTTTAGAACATTTTTCCTTTTTAGTTTAAGTGTTTAATGGTATAAATTTCCCCTCTAAGGCCTGCTTTAGCTGCACCTTACATTTTTGTATATGTTGATTTCATTTTCTTTTAATTCACAGTATTTTCTAATTTTTCTTGTGATTTATTCCTTGACACATGAATTAGTTAGAGGTGTTTGGATTGATTTTCAAATACCTGAGTTTTTCCAGTTATTATTGTGTTATTAATTTCTACTTACATTTCTAATTAAATGTGTTGTGAATCAGAGAACACATTTTGTATGGTTTCGGTCCTTTTAGATTTATTTAGATATTTGTTGTGACCAAGAATGCAGAGTATCCTGATGAATATCCTATGTGCACTGTATGAATGTGTATTGTACTGTTGTATGGAGTACTTTTAAAGTATTATTAGATCAAGCTGGTTGACTGTGTTGCCTTCTATCTCTTTCCCAATTTTATATTACTTGCTCTATCAATTACTAAGAGAAGAGTGTTGACATTTCCAGCTATAATTGTGGATTTGTCTGTTTTTGCTTTTAATTCTAGAAGTTTTGTTATATATTTTGAAATTCTCTTATGTGCTACACATTGAGGATTCTAATGTTTTCTTAATGATGCAAACCCTTTAATATAAAATGTGCTTTTGTCCTTGTTTTGATGTCTAATGTATCTGCTATTGATTACAGCCATTCCAGTTTCTTTCAATTA